TCCATCGTATTTCAATTTCGACAACTCGCTATTTATACCGCGGTCACAAGTGACTGATATGTTTAAATCTGAAGTACTTGGTTTATCCGCCGGTTCAATCTCGCAAGTAGAAGTCGTATGTTCACTTATATTGGATGATTTTGAAAGACTTAACAAGATAGTGTTATATTTATCAAAGCTCTTAGTAATTTTTGACAATAAAACAGAATCTTCAGACTTTTCCGTTTTTTGTATTCTTTGTATTCTATAGTACAAGTGATTTATTAACGATTTTGTTCTATTAAAAAGGGAGTCATTATAATTTGATTTAAGAGATTCTATATTAACTTTTATTTTGTCTAATGTCTCAGCGCAGCCTTTAATATCCAGCGAAAAATCCAAGACCGAGTCAAGAATTTCATCCGCTGGATATAGTTGAGTCAATTTTGTGACTTGTCGTCGCAATCCCTCCACATTGTCTAAGGGGGATTCTCCTCGTATAGCAACTTCATAGCTTAGTTCAGATTTTTGTAAAAGTAAAAATTTTATTGGGTAAGACATATTTTTTTTTTTTAAATAATAGAAGAATTAACACTAGGTATGTTGTGCAAATAATAATAATAATAAAATACACAGTAAAAGATGAAAAAAATTAAATACAAATGGCAAAAATAAAATATAAAAAATACAAGCATAGAAAAAAAAAAAAGAAAAAATAATAAAAGCGCAAATAAAATAGCCCAAGCCTATTTGCCGTTCTGTTACAATATATAGCTGTTGTTACAGAACGATCGATAGTGTAATGCAAAAAAAAAAAAAAAAAAAAGGTAAAAACAAATTGCATATATATATATATATAAAAGTTACTGCAACTACTAGTATGAATATACCTTAAACTTATTTCAAATATAAGAAATAATTAATTCGATTGATGATGTTCAAGTTATTGCTATTAAATTATGTAGTAATTATATATTATTTTACAATTCATATATTCACCCTAGTTCTGCAAAACAATCAACTTCACAATTCTAGCTCACCGAGCAACTTCACACCTACTTACTAAACTAAGATAAGTAGTGAACTGTGACGGAACAATATGATTTATGACCTTTGACCACGGACATGGGCGCCACTGTCGCGTTTGTTATTGTTAAAAAAAACAAATACGGCAAATTAAGTTTATAAAAAATGTATTCATAGTAAAAAAAATAAAAAAATAGTTGTTTAGAGTCAGGGTTGGGTAAGCCTTGGGTCACAAAACATATAGTCCGCTCAGTCCAAGAATAAACACCACTATCCTCGGTCTCCTCGGTTTTCCAGCAATCCTCTCCAGCAAAGCGGCTAAGTCGGTATGCAGTCTCACGAGTATATATATGTATATAGTTTCCAGTCGTCGGGTAGGTGGTTATATTATATCAATATCTACGGTGTTCCTGTAATATACCGAATCATTGCATTATGATCTTATAATAGCAAGATATAGTCAGACCTACGGATTATGGGTATTCTATAGCTACTTAATTAGCCAGCAGAAGGAGGAAGAAAATCAAGGCGGCAGTTATAATTTTAAATCAGAACGGTTACTAGGCGGTTAACAAAAGCACTGCGCATTATAATCAACTATTATTCATTATGCAAGAAAACAATATTATAATAATATTATATAGGGCAAGCCACACAATGACACTAGTATAGTGACACTATCAGTTAAAATTTTAACTTACTTAGCTACTATGACACATCAAATTTACAACAAGTCTTAAGTCCAAAATAAATTAGCAACAAATATTATATGCACAACTTACCCAGTATGGGAACACTTTAAGATTCTATTTTCAATTTATATAAATATTTATAGTGAATTTAAATTCACCCGAAGAAAATAATTGCACACTGGTTGTAGTAGGTAGGTACTATTAGCGTTAAGAACGGCGACGTATATGCGCTCGTAAGTCTATCATAGAAGTGAGTGCTGGTGAGGTGAGGCAGGGGGCAGCAAACGGACCACGGACCGGTTGTCGAGCGTTGCAATACAATAGACAACAAGTACCTGCTTGACGAACGCAATAACTATCATATTTGTATATTTAGCGATGCTACAATACAAGGTCGCTGGCTAAACGCGCCGTGAGTCAGACATATAAGAACAATATTTCTATATACATATTGTCAGTCTATAATCATCTATAATATACATCATCTCGACCAAGAACATCGTATCATTTATTCGCAACAGCAGTTATCTCGTTATTTACTCCCTTTCTTACCATATCATCTTTCACACAGTACATCCATCTCTTTTTGGGCTTTCCTCTGCCATTATAACGATCCACATTCATATGTACCTTAAAATATAGGACGAATATTATTTTGGTTTTCAGTTTGAATGTCATTTTGTTACTAAAGGTAGTTATTGGTTGTTTGGGCTATTGTCAGGTGCTTGGACCTGTAGCACTACGACCTACATAGATCTATTGTGCTCGCCCTTTTTCAAAGTTCGCTACCTAGACCTGTCAGGGACAAGAATTGAAGGATATTCTTTGGAGCGATGGTTTTTATCTCCTCGGGAAAGAGTGTAAACTTTCCAAAGGATATATTTCGTTTATACTTGAGTGGGCATGAAAGGTAGTTACCACTACCTCTGCATGAAAGGTAACCACCTCTGATTTTGATAGTAGTGTAATTATTATAGATTAATTTATATCAATACTACCTGTGCGCGCGATTTCACTCGCGTTAAATTTCAATAAAAAATATAGTCTATATGTCATTCTAAAACATTACTTATATTACTGTAAAGTTTCATCAAATGAAATCCATTCAGTAGTATTTACGTGTAATAGTAGGTAACAAGCATACTCATAAACTTTCGGGTTTATAATATTATTAAGATAAACTTAACTATATTTAGTTAAAATAAATAAGCACACTTTACGATATTAATTTATTATTTAGTACCAACAAATGCACACGTTTATACATAAAATATCAAATGCTCTGTTATTATATATTTATATATTACAATTAATTAATAATTAACATAACGTAATGTACAAAATAAAACATTTTTTTTTTAACTTCACCTATTGACTTCATTAACATTACATAGTATAAAACAAAGTTGCTGTCGCTGTCTGTCCCTATGTATGCTTAAATCTTTAAAACTCAACATCATCTCAGCCCAGACGTCCACTGCTGAACAAAGGCCTCCCCCAAAGATCGGTCCTGCGCTGCATCGCAGCCAATGCCTTCCAACGATCTTGACCAGATCGTCGGTCCACATTGCTGGAGGCCTTCCCACGCTACGTCTTCCGGTCTGCGGTCGCCACTCGAGGACTTTACTACCTAAATCTTTAAAACTACGCAACGATTTTTGAAGCGGTTTTTTTTAATAGATAGAGTGATTATAGAGGAAGACTTATATGTATAATACATGTAGATCCATGCAAAGCCGGGGTGTTTAATAAATAAAGAATGTTTATTTTATTTTAACAATTCGTTACAAAAGCTAAAATATATGCAACTCAAAGGTGACTGACCGACATAGTGATCTATCAACGCACAGCCCAAACAACTGAACGTATCCGGCTGAAATTTGGCATGCTAAGGGGATAATATAGGGGATGAAAGTTTGTATAAATATTAGATTTTGTAGGCCCTAATTTTTTACACACGCTAAACAAAAGTAAAGCCTCAAAAACTACCCCTAATTAATAATAATACTTACTAATACGCGAGCGTAGCTGCGTGCAAAATCTAGTTGAAGTTAATTCTTATAATTAAATCGATATAGTTACATATTAAATTCGAGGCGATATCACTAGAATTAAATTATCTAAAATCACAGATGCAATAATTGAAGACATGTCTTAACTATGTCTTTTTAATTATTATTATAACTAATACACCTTATAAACTAAAAATATATAACTCAAAGGTGACTGACATAGTGATCTATCAACGCACAGCCCAAACCACTGGACGGATCGGGCTGAAATTTGGCATGCAGGTAGATGTTATGACGTAGGCATCCGCTAAGAAAGGATTTTGTTTATTCTACCCTCAAGAGGATAATGGATGATGCAGGATGTAAATGTATTAGTATGAACCTATCAGTACCTAATGGAACGAATAAATTAAAACTAACAAAATAATTTCTAGTTCTTTAGGCACTTTTATTTTAGAAAAATAAAGTTAAATTCGCGGGAACAGCTATTAAGTACTATATTGCTTACAATTTCATTATACAATTAATAATAAAAAAAAACTAATGTAGAAGTTAGGACAATTCATTTAAAGTAATACAAAGAGGAAAAACTTAATTAATTATTTAATAATAATATTTATTTATTTATTTAAAGTAATACAAAGGGAAAAAACTTAATTAATTTCTTATAACATTTAAGTTAGTTAATTTTTAAATTTCTCTTTATCGAGGTAGACTGAAAAATAGTCGGCGTAGAATCCAATTTCACCTGTATTTTACCTATTTACCCATCTGATTGTAAATAGTTACCGTAACCTGTAAACGACTGAAACGCCAAAGGCTTCAAGTGCGCAATGACGATCCTCATGAGTAAGGTAGTTTAGAATAGAATAGAATAGAAAATCCTTCATTCAGATAAACTTAATTTAAACCTTAATACCTAAGCAATTATTATCTAAATATATTTATATAACTCCAACTCAACGCACAGCCCAACAGCCCAAACCACTGGACGGATCGGGCTGAAATTTGGCATGCAGGAAGATGTTATGACGCAGGCATCCGTTAAGAATGGATAAGACAGAATTTAGATTAATTCTATCCCCAAGAGGATAAAATAGGGGATGAAAGTTTGTATGAAACTTTGTCAATTTTAAACCGATCGGGCTGAGACTTTGCATGCATAAAGCTACTACGACGTAGGCGTCCCCTAAGAATGGATTTTGATAAATTCCACCCCTAAGGGGATAAATTAACGCGAGCGAAGCCGCAGGCAAAAAGCTAGTCGTATAATAAACTCCTTTCCCTAATTCAATTAACTTTTCCGTGCTTCCAAACTCGGATATCGCGGCGTTCCGGCGGTCTTTGTCTTGGCAGTAAAAGAACTCTTGAAACACGAAGTTCCACTTTGACCGCCGCGGTCAGACTGCCCGCTGTGTGCGTTGTTATAGACTCGGTAGATTCTAATAAACGCTGAACGCGGAACGCGGAACTCGGAACTCGGAACTCGGAACTCGGAACTCGGAACTCGGAACTCGGAACTCGGAACTCGGAACTCGGAACTCGGAACTCGGAACTCGGAACTCGGAACTCGGAACTCGGAACTCGGAACTCGGAACTCGGAACTCGGAACGCGGAACTCGGAACTCGGAACTCGGAACTCGGAACTCGGAACTCGGAACTCCTGACCGCTCTCTGTGAGCGTGGGCTCTAAGTAATTATACGTATAAATAATGACCACGTTTATTTTAAAACTATTTAATTTTACCTATATTTCCGACTTATTAATAAAATGTTTTTTAACGTCCACCTTTAAAATTATCTAAATTTATGTCTTTGGCACATAATCTAAATATAGAGTGACTTTTGTCTCCCTCTGCTTAGCTTGGAACTAGATGGCGTTGTGTGAATTGTCCTGAGGTATTAATATTATTATTATTATTATTACTTATAATACTAGACAATTAACACAGCGCCATCTAGTCCCACGGTAAGCAGAGCTTATGTTATGGGTAGACAACTGATATAAATACTTAAATATGTATTTTTAAAACGTATATAAAATACATAGAAAACACCTCAACCGACAAAAAATCATACTCATTAATTGCAATCGTACAAGAAATCGAACCCGCGACTGAAGTAAAGTGGTGTTAAACCGCTAGACCATCGAGGTCGTTATGTGTCTTGTCAGGTCATCGCTGTTCTTTGCATGTTGCTATAAAGTCGACATCAGATCTGTGCTGCAGTTCAGAGCTCTCTTGAGCGTGCACCTCGCCCAGCCTCTCGGCGTCGGTCACGTGGTCAGGCAGGTCCGCTTCGCTGGTGTCAGGGAACATGAGGGCCAGCACCGCAGGCCCAAGGGACACCAGCCCGAACACTATACTCGTTAGACCAGTCATGTACTGTTCCTGAAAATTTACATGTAACTTTTTTTATAGCATAAGGAATAAACGAGCTTGCGGCTAACTTACCATCAGGTTAGCCGTAAGTCCGTTAGTTGAACGTGTCGTGTAGGGGTTATAGCAACTGGTTAATCTCATATATAAAATTCTCGTGTCACAATGTTAGTTACCATACTCCTATGAAACAGCTTGACCGATTTGTATAAAATTTTATATGCAGCATTCAGTAGGTCTGAGAATCGGCTACTATCTATTTTTCATTCCACTATATTTTTTTTTTGAGCAAAATTTTTTATATATATTTTTTTATTGTGTGTTATTAAAAAACACATATAACCCTAAATTTTCACCCTTCTATCACCAACCCCTATTTTTTATAGCGTTATTAATTTATATGGCAAAACAACGTTTGCCGGGACAGATAGTTTAACTATATCTTTACATAGTATAAAAAAAATCATCGCCAATGTCTGTTAAGTTACAACTAAACTATTTAGAATAGAATAGAATAGGAAATCATTTATTCAAATAAACTTAATTTAAGCACTTTTGAATAGTCAACATTTTTTTTAAATCTACCGCTTATTCGGAAAGCTGTCTCATCACATGAAGAATAAGCAAGAAACTTGTGTGTTGCTCTTTTAAACAATCCTTGTAAGTTCATATTTTACAAGTCGAAACGTGTGAATACAAACTACCAACCAGCACTAATTTATTTAGTCTCAAATATAAAAACACAATAAGATTAAATCAGTCTAGTGATAAGAGCAGACCAGTCCCTACAAGCAGCACTCGTTCACGAGTATGACGGATGAGCCAGCCATCTCTGCGCTCGACCATATTTTAGGGAGCCCAATGACCCGGGATTTAAAAGAGCAACACGTAAGATTCTTCCTCGTTCTTCTCATGGTGAGTAGGACTATTCAAAATTACTTAATTGTATAAGTCAAGAAACTAACTTTTTTTAAATTGTTAGTAATCTTTACATAGCATAAAATTTATCTTCCGCTGTCTGTTAGCTTATATCCTGTAAACTACACACGGATTTTAATGCAGTTTTGAGCCAGAGATAGAGTGATTCAAGAGGAAGATTAAATGTATAATACATGCGTATTATGGTGTATAACAAGCCGAGAAATTCCAAGATTTCTAATGCATTTGTGCGAAGCTGGGATAGGTGACAATTTTTTTTTAGGACAATTCACACAGAGCCATCTAGTCCCAAGCTAAGCAGAGCTTGTGTTATGGGTACTAGACAACTGATATAAATACATGGATACATTTTTTTTTGTAATAAATTGTAAATACATACATATTATACATAGAAAACATCCAGACCGATACAAACAATCATACTCATGATTACAAATGTTTGTATCGTGCGAGGAATCGAACCCGCGACCATATATATATAAATTAATTGCTGTTCGTTACTCTCGCTAAAACTCAAGAACGGCTGAAGCAATTTGCCTAATTTTATCTTTGAAATATTCATGGAAGTCCAGGGAAGGTATAAACGGTGATAAAATATGAAGAAATTGCATATAAAATAGTAAAACCAACTATTTTATTTCCCCATACAAATGGCTGACACCTGTCAAACAGAGTGCATACAAAAATTTATTGCGTAATGAAACTTTTTTTTTTATATCATAATTTGAGCGCGTTTGACCGCAATCTCAGCTGATGTTAAGTGATGATGTGGTCTAAGCTGTTACACGCAAGCTCAAATAATGCCTATTCACTCTTGACTTAAAAGACCCAATGTTGTAAGAGGCAGGAAAAATAGACGCTGGTAGAGAGTTCCACTCCTTAGCTGCTCGCATAAGGAAAGATGATGATGAAATAATGAAACTTCAAAAGTTCGCGGGGTCAGCTACTATAAAATATTTACCAGTAATGGTGCTTGTGGCGCAAGTGCAGAGCCCAGTCTGCCGACGGTGTTGGCAGCATTGGTGAGAGAGTTGCGAGATGTCGTGGGGAACACCTCCATGGCAACCACTGTTAAAGAGAACAGCCCGTAGCTGGTGCACATCTTCGCCATCACGTACAGCAGAACTGATGCCCACCACACGGCTGCAAGTAAATTATAATTACGTTACTGGAATAGCAAATAAAACTATTAAATAATGCTTTATTTATATTTTTCTCGATTTGGAGATGTGTCAACTCGAGTTACTAACTCGAGTTGCGATGTGCTAACTCGTAATAAACTTGACTCGAGTTAACTCGAGTTACTAGAATAGCAAATAAAACTATTAAATAATGCTTTATTTATATTTTTATCGATTTGGAGATGTGTCAACTCGAGTTACTAACTCGAGTTGCGATGTGCTAACTCGTAATAAACTTGACTCGAGTTAACTCGAGTTGAGTTCAGCCAACTCGAGTTGGAAGAATTCAACTGGTAAATGAATGGATCAAGTGAAAGAGCGAGAGCATGATTCTGTCATCGAACTGACAATGACATGAAATTTTCCAATCATACAATTTTCACTCGTCTCAAATATTTCATTCAGTATTGATTTGAGGTTGTTATTATTATTTCGCATATTCGTCCGATTATGTTATCATTAAATTTATTATGCGCTCTATAAGTCCTTCCGCGGCTTTAAAGTGCCATTTCTACTCGCTCCCTATAGTTCGGTGAAGCTTTCAAGGCTAGCTGCGCCCAAAAGCATTAGAATTGAAATAAAAAAAAATTATCCAGGTAACTCGAGTCAACTCGAGTTTTGATTAATTCTACCCCCAAGGGAATAAAATAGGAAATGAAAGTTTGTATGAAACTTTGTCAATTTTAAACCGATCGGGCTGAGACTTTGCATGCATAAAGCTACTATGACGTAAGCATCCCCTAAGAAAGGATTTTGATAAATTCCACCCGTAACGGGGCAAAATAACGCGGGCGAAGTCGCGGGCAAAAGCTAGTATTTTTTTTAATACTTCCACTCATTCGGGACAGCAATTGCATCACAAGAAGAATGAGCAAGAAATGATTAAACTCTTACATTTGGGTACGAATACAGAAGCGATGAAGAATATAGCGCACAAGCAGTACGCAGCGCAGATCGGGGCCTTCCTGCCGAACTTGGTCAACGTGAGCGCCGTGATGACTCTGGTGGGCACCGCCACCAGCAGCACCATGGAGAAGTTGAAGTACCTGCAATCATGGCGGAGAATGAAGAATAGAAGAGCGTAGAATATTACATAACAGAGTTTATTGGATGGTGGTGGTGGTGGTAATTGAACCCGCAACTATCGGAGATAAGGCGATCTGCTATCAACGCCAATCTTCCATTCTTAATTTATGTCGTGACTTCATCTTCACTGATGCAATCCCCCCGCCCCTCTTTCTCAAGTGGTACACCAGCGCAAAATCATCTACTAAAATACCTATTTATTGGAATTGAACCTTACTTGTTGCCCAAGAGGCTTGTAGAGTTAATAACTGTGCCGATGTACACGAAAATCCCGCAGAAGAAGCATGCCGCCATTAGAACTACGCGCAGCAATATTTTCTTTGATCGCAGCACAGAGAGAAGATGCGACTTCTGGTTGTTATCACCACCGGCCTGAAAGAGGGAAGAAACAGAAATCATATCAAAACTAATTTATTCATGTTCGGAAGGTGACGAGAGCTCCACCGACAAGAGAACAGCTCTACTACGAGCTACTGCTTTCTTGAAATATGATAGCGTAGCGGCTTCTGTATTGATTGCCGCATGCATCCTCATGTAAAGTGCGAATACTGTAACTACCATATAGTAATTTTAAGTAGCTGTGACGTGGTCGAGTGGAATGAGTAGTCATGCTCACTAAAATGTCTAGTGGCGGCGTGGTGGGCCGGGTCATTGGGCTCCCTAAAATATGGTCGAGCGCAGTGATGGCTGTCTCATCCGTCATACTCGTGTACGAGTGCTGCTTGTAAGTGGTCTGCTCTTATCACTACGACTGATTTAATCTTATTGTGTTTTTATATTTGAGCCTAAATAAATTAGTGCTGGTTGGTAGTTTGTATTCGATATGGTTACTTGTAAAATGTGAACACGGTTCAACTTGCAAAATGTGAACTACTTACAAGGAGTGTTTAAAAGAGCAACACACAAGTTTCTTGCTTATTCTTCTTGTGATGAGACAACTTTCCGAATGTGCGGTAGATTTAAAAAAAACTGTTGACTATTCAAAAGTGAGGAAGGCCAAAAAAGAGATGAACTATGTGAAAGATGATATGATAAGAAAGGGGGTACTTAACGAGATGACTGCGAACAGGGATGAATGGAGGAGAAAAACATATTACGACGACCACAAATAAATGGGATAAGGAAGAAGATGATTATGAATAAAATATTTATTAATCCTTACGAACACATTTTACTAATATTATAAACGCGAAAGTGTATGAGTTTGAATGGATGTTTGTTAATCTTTCACGCAAAAACTAATAAACGGATTTTGATGTAACTTTATAGTAATATAGCTTATACATCAGAATAACATAATAGACTATAAATTTCACGCGAGTGAAACCGCAGGTACAGCTAGTCATTACATAGTATAAAATAAAATCGCTGTCGCTGTCTATCCGTCTCTATGTATGCTTAAATCTCTAAAACTACGCAACGGATTTTGAAGCGGTTTTTTTATACATAAAGTGATTCAAGAGGAAGGTTTATATATATAGTGTAATATATGTGCCCCCGTGCAAAGCCGGGGCAAGTAGCTAGTTATCATTACGTAGTATAAAATAAAGTCGCTGTCGCTTTCTGTCCGTCCCTATGTATTAATAGACAGAGTGATTCTAGAGGAAGGTTTATATATATAATACATGTACACCCGTGCGGAGCCGGGGTGAATAGCTAGTAATTTATATTTTTATAAATTCGGCCACACGATGGTTTCGTCACCCGCACGGTGAATCCTAAGAAGGTGGATTAGTAAGAAGGTCTTCTCAAACAAAAATGTCAACCTACCTGGTCGCTTTTAGTTTTCTGATGAGAAATCTTCGTCAAAGTTTCCTTAGCTTTGTTTGATAAAGTGATATTGTTGATTTTTGCGACTTTATTCAGCACCCTCACGGCTTCATCATTTTTGTTATGGGCGAGCAACCATCTCACACCTTCGTCCATCAGGAAGATGTAAAACACCACCACCAGTAGCGGGGCGTAGATAGCCCTCATCAGGTCCCTCCAGTACGGTATCCTCCAGGCTATCAGGCCGAAGAAACTGCTCCCGAAACTGGCCATTATATCAGCTATGCACGAGAACATGACACGCCGCTTATGACTGACCGTTTCCAGTGCTAAAAATATCATTACATAGTATAAAACAAAGACGATGTCGCTGTCTGTCCCTCACTATATATGCTTAAATCTTTAAAACTACGCAACGGATTTTTTTTAACAGATAGAGTGATTCTAGAGGAAGGTTTATATAATACATGTATACCCGTGCGAAGCCGGGGTGGATAGCTAGTCTATTATAATTATACACTCAAAATATTTTTTCTCAACTGATTTGTTTGTCAGTCTATGGACCATAAGATATATTTTTATATATGTATTTAAAAATTAGTATAGCGTTGTATCAATAATGTAATGAATTATATAAAACTTTGAACTGTTCAGTGTAACTTGGTTATTTTAATAATAATAATAATAATAATAATAATAACCGCAGGACAATTCACACAGCGCCATCTAGTCCTAAGCTAAACAGAGCTTGTGTTATGGGTACTAGACAACTTATATAAATACATAGGATCATTATTTTTGTAAATAAATACATATTATACATAGAAAACACCCAAACCGATACAAACAATCATACTCATGAATACAAATGTTTGTACCTTGCGAGGAATCGAACCTGCGACCATCGGAAAAAAGCGGTGTGCTAGACCACCACCACCGACCACCGAGGTCGTCGGTGCTTCTCGCACGGTACAAGAATTTGTAATGTTTGTACCGTGCGAGGAATCGAACCTACGACCATCGGATAGTAAAGCAGTGTGCTAAACCACTAGACAACCGAGATTGTCGAAATAGTGGTAAATATAACTAAAACACATTATCTACATATAAAAAATATTACTATTTTTTATATGTAGATAATGTGTTTTAGTTATATTTATTAGTTAGTTAGTTATATAGTTATACATGTAGATAATCTTACAGTTATAAACATGTTACTTACATAGTACCATAGAAGCGTTGCCGTATCCCAAAGCAGTTTCTAGAAACTCGAACACGAGCAGCATCCAGTAGTTGACAGAGAAGGACTTGATGAGACCAGCAATAGCCACAGCCAGAGGTGTCATTATTATTATCACCTTGCGACCGTATCTGAAACATTATTAGATGTCCTGAAAATACAGCAATCTCTGCGGTATAGCGGTGTGGCCGATAGTTGCGGGTTCTATTCCTCGCACGGCGCGATCATTAATATTTATAACAAAATTGCAATAGCATATGATTATGGTTACTCCATTTTCCTTAATTGAAAATTTAAAAATGAATCTGAACTTTTCTTGTGCACATGTTCCCACCAACATGCTCATGAAGGAGGACTACTGGCCGAAGGGTGTGTATCGGCGCTACCGTGGCAGATTACCATCATCAGTGCAGTGATCACACAGACAATTTTTTACTTATTATATTATTCATTTATATGTATGTTAGTCTGTAAAGTATTTATAATATGGGCCATTAGTAGACTGAATTGATAACTGAATAAATGTCGGAGAGGTTAAAGAGTAATCGTCTATCGTGGTATGGGCATGTAATGCGTAGGAATGAAGATCATATCCTAAGGACGGTGTTACATATGAATGTGGATGGTTATAAGGGTAGAGGAAGACCGAAAAAGGTATGGATGGACTGTGTGAAAGATGATATGGTGAGAAAGGGAGTGAATAATGAGATGACTGCGAACAGAGATGAATGGAAGAGAAAAACATATTACGACGATCAAATAAATGGGATAAGGAAGAAGCAGATGATGATAATAAACTGAATGTACTATATACATGTTTACACTTTTTTAAAACAACTTTTTTGGAATAACATCCCGCCACCATTTAGGAATCTGACTGCCGTACATAGTTTTAAAAAACATCACTAAGAATACTTAGTAGAAAAACAAATAATAGGCATTCTACAGAAATTTCTTGGCTAACGGTTGCAATCTTACGTAATGATTTTTAATAATTTTTTTCAGTATATAATAATCAGTTCCGCTCATCTTATACAAGGACATTTGAAAAGAATACGAGCTGAGTTTCTTGTCAGTTCTTCTCATCTCGAAATCATCCCGAACTGACGGTAGATTTGACATATTATAAGAGTCTGTAATGGACCTACATGTATAAAGACAATTCAGTGGGTACAGATAGTAAGATGAATCCAGCCATCATTACACTCAATCTTATTCTAGGTTGTCAATGATGGCTGGCTGATCATACTCGTGAACGGATGCTGCGTGTGTGGACAGGTCTACTAATTTACAGTCACAGATTAGACAATTTCCTTTTGACAAAATTGGCGAGCATTTCTCACTAATTTTTAATTTAAAAATTAATCTGCAGTGTTTATTAGTATAGCATTTTTGTAAAAATACAATAGAAGGACTTTTGAAAAGGATAACAGCTGAATATTTTGTCAGTTCTTAGTTCAACAGCAATCCGAACTGATGGTAGACTTGACAAATTATAATTCAAATTAAAAAATCATTTATTCATGTAGGACAGTTTCAGAGGAGTTTCCTCCCGCGTACACTTAGATTGTGGAATGAACTTCCTGCCGAGGTTTTCCCACGAGACTACAGCATGGGGTTTTTCAAGTAGGGTATATTAAGGTTTCTTAAGGGTCGGCAACGCGCAAGTGATACCCTGGTGTTTCAGGCGTTCATAGGCTACGGTAACCATTTACCATCAGATGGGCCGTATGCTTGATTTCCACCATAGTAGTATAAAAAAAAGGACATTTTAGCTGCTTATGAACGTCAAATTTATTATATTATAATCTTTCCCTACGATCCAGTTCGGTACATAGATCCAAGAAGAACTGGCAAGAAACTCAATTGAATTACTTTTTTTTAAAGCCAATTTATTTACAATGTATATTTATATAGGTGTCTATGTCTAACATTAAATGAAAATCCCGTGCATGAACAACTATTGCCATGCACGCTCGTCATTCAAGTAATCGTTTAGTGAGTAATAGGCTTTGTTCAGTAAATATGATTGAACAGATGTTTTGAATTTATTTAAGGGTAATTTCATTATATCGTTTGGTATCTTATTGTAATTTTTTATATACCTGTTCCCATAAAAGACTCATTGAGTTTTTAAATTATTTATTTCACGCTATATTTTATTGTAAAAAGATGCTTGCCAAGCTAAAGAGGAAACGACACTTATGGTACACATCCTATGTGGTTGTAGCTCATGTATATATATATATATATATATATATATATTCCAGTACATCATAAGAGTCTGTAATAGACCTACATGTATAAAGATGTTTTGATTTGATTTGCTACCGCCTGTCTTGATTCATAAAGTTTGCGCAGGCAAATGGATAGCATAGTCATTCATTAAAAAAAAATCTTACATACAAACATTATTTGTATGTCTACTGTAATAACCCATCATTAGTGTCTACATGTGATTCGTGTACATCTATACATATAAATATAATTGGAGTGTCTGTTTGTAATATTGAAATAACAGTTTACAACATGCATATGAATATAAATACGGTACATATACCAAAATAACATTTTTTACTATTTTTGTCTGTTCGTTTGTTCTGGCTAATCTCTGAAACGGCTGGACCGATATTGACGGAACTTTTTTTGGCAAGTAGCCGATGTAATAAGGAGTAACTTAGGCTACTTTCATTTTAGAAAAATAAAGTTAACCTATACATATAAATAAAATTGGAGTGTCTGTTTGTAATACTGAAATATCCGTTTTTTACAACATGCATATTAATATAAATACGGTACATATACCAAAATAACATTTTTTACTATTTTTGTCTGTCTGTCTGTTTGTTCTGGCTAATCTCTGAAATGGCTGGACCGATTTTGACGGGACTTTTATTGGCAGGTAGCCAATGTAATAAGGAGTAACTTAGGCTACTTTTATTTTAGAAAAATAAAGTTAAATTCCACGCAGACGAAGTCGCCTGTACAGCTAGTACTTAATAGAATCGTAATAACTTAATATGGAAATGATTGTGAATAATTTCACTAATAATCTTCACGAACCACAATAACTAAACGGCAGTTAGTGTTCACCGGCGTGACACCCGTCCGGACAGTCGTTTATATATATGTAAGTATATATCTATCATTACATACTATAAAACTAAGTCGCTGTCGCTGTCTGTCCGTCCCTATGTATGTTTAAATCTTTAAAACTACGTAACGAATTTCGAAGCGGTTTTTTTTATTAGTGATTCAAGAGGAAAGTTCATATATATAATACATGTACACCCGTGCGAAGCCGAGGCAAGTAGCTAGTTATTTATAAAGTTCTGGTACTCTAACTGTAATTTCTACTTTCCAAGTTTCTTTGTTATTCTCTTAGACTTCGTACGCGTGGAATTTAACTTTATTTTTCTAAAATAATATTTTTTCTAAAATAAAAGTAGCCTAAGTTACTCCTTATTATATCAGCTACCTGCCAAAAAAAGTCCCGTCAAAATCGGTCCAGCCATTTCAAAGATAAACCGGACCAAACAGACAGACAGACAAAACTTGTAAACTCGTGTACGCGTGCGAAGCCGGGGCGAGTAGCAAGTTAATTAATTATTAATTAATATTATAAAGCTGAAGAGTTTGTTTGTTTGAACGCGCTAAACTTAGGAACTACAAGTTCGAATTGAAAATTTCTTTTGTTTCGGATAGTGCATATGTCGAGGAAGGCTTTAAGCTATATAACATTATGATACGACCAATAGAATCGGAACATCAGTGAAAAATATTGCAAAATCGGGGAAAATCTAAATATATATATATAACTCAAAGGTGACTGACTGACATAGTGATCTATCAACGCACAGCCCAAACCACTGGACGGATCGGGCTGAAATTTGGCATGCAGGTAGATGTTATGACGTAGACATCCGCTAAGAAAGGATTTTGATTAATTCTACCCCCAAGGGGATAAAATAGGGGATGAAAGTTTGTATAAATCTTCTTAGATTTTTGACTGATTGAACTGAAATTAAAGATTGGAGCTACTATGATGAAGACGTTCGCTTAAATAGGATTTTGATAAATTCAACCCCCATGGGGATAAAATAAGGGATGATGCAGGATGTAAATGTATTAGTTTGAACCTATCAGTACCTAATGGAGCGAATAAATTAAGACGAACAAAATAATTTTTAGTTCTTTAGGCTACTTTTATTTTAGAAAAATAAAGTTAAATTCCACGCGGACAAAGTCGCGGGAACATCATCATCTGCTTCTTCCTTATCCCATTTATTTGTGGTCGTCGTAATATGTTTTTCTCTTCCATTCATCTCTGTTCGCAGTCATCTCGTTATTTACTTCCTTTCTCACCATATCATCTTTCACACAGTCCATCCATCTCTTTTTCGGCCTTCCTCTGCCCTTATAACCCTTATAAAAAATTGTCTCTACTACTTTTAAATAATTTTCAACATACAATTTTCGTCTTACAGTTTTAATTTTTTATTCAGTTTAGACGTGAAAGGTTTCGGCTGAAAAACTGGATGCGGTGATCTTGTTACACTCACAAACAACACTACAGTTCAAATATATAGCGTTTGTGGCCCTGATCCCCACCGACTTGCTGCCCACCTTCATGAAAGAGGACTACTGGCCGAAAGGTGTGGTATATCGGCGCTACCGTGGCAGATTGCCGTCTTCAGTGCCGTGATCACACAGACAATATCATTGTATTAGTTTTTAAATATTATTTCATATGTATGTTAGTCTATAAGGTATTTATAATATGGGCCTAGTTGCCTGAAATAAATGAATAAATAAATAAAATAAAATATAACTAAATCACAATATATACCTGTCCGATATAAATCCTGATAGTAAGAATGAGACCACCAGCCCCAGGTTGTGAACTGATCCGATCATCGTCCTCTTCCAGGGTTGGCAGCCCAGGTCGAACTGGAACAAATACAATTTTATCATTACATAGTGTTTAGTAGGGAATCTTCTATACTAACAATTAAAACTGTAATCACTAAATATATATCTTTAATTTGTAGCCTCAAATATATTTGTACATTACATCACTTTGAAAACTCTTATAACGTATTTATGTAATAAATATGACAATATATATATTTTCTCTACAGTTCCCATCTGATCTCTATAATATTATATTTTTTACATTTTGGCGCCAAAGTTATTTCACCTTTTTAAAAGCAACGGAACAAACCCAAACAGCTATAATAATGAGACAATATTCAAAACAGTGGGATATTTAACACATAGTATAAAACAAAGTCGCTGTCGCTGTATGTCCGTCCTTATGTATGCTTAAATCTTTAAAACTACGCAACGGATTTTGAAGCAGTTGATTTTAGTAGATAGAGTAATTCAAGAGGAAGGTTTATATATATAATATATGTACACCCGTGCGAAACCAGGGAGGGTAACTAGTTAATATTATAAACGCGAAAGTTTGTGTGTATGGATGTTTGTTACTCTATCTTGCAGAAGCTACTGAACGGATTTTGATGAAACTTTACAGTGACATAGCTTATGCATCAGAATAACATATAGGCTATAAGTTTCACGCGGATCAAACCGCGGGCACTAATTATAATAAATAAATTATTTAATAAATATATAATTATATAAATATTTTTTTATACTATGTAAATGGCAAACAAGCATACGGCCCATCTGATAGTAAACGGTTACCGTAGCCCATGGACGCTTAAAACAGCAAGGGAATCTCATGGACTATGTCGAACCATAAAAAAACTTCTAGAAACACCCCATGCTGTAGTCTCGTGAGAAAACCTCGGCAGGTAGTTCATTCCACAATGTAAGTGTACGCGGGAGGAAGCTCCTCTGAAACCGCACTGTCCGAGACCATTTAGGTTCCAGCGTGTGGGGATGAATTCCTTGTCGATGTAATAATATACATAGAAAACACCCAGACCGACACAAACAATCATACACATTAAGGCAAATGTTTGTACTGTGCGAGGAATCGAACCAGCGACCATCGAAGCAAAGTGGTGTCCTAAACCACTAGATCACCGAGGCCATCCTAATATAATAATAATCTCAGGACAATTCACACATCGCCATCTAGACCCAAGTTAAGCTAGCTAAAGCTTTTGTTATGGGTACTAGATAACTGATACATATACATAAATATTTTTTTTTCGCAAATACATACATATTATACATAGAAAACACCCAGACCGATACAAACAATCATACTCATGAATACAATTTTTTGTGCCGTGCGAGGAATCGAACACATGACCATAGAAGCAAAATGGTGTGCTAAACCACTAAACTACCGTGGCCGTCATAATATGATATTAACTTTACAAGTTGGGAATTAAAAGGTGTATCAAATACTGTGATTTCAGTATATTAAATAGCAATTTACACATCCGCTCACAACAGTTTAGTGTTTGAACCTTGAACTTGGACTGCGCGACCATCGGCCGCTACTCACTCACAACAAGGGTTTGTCGGGCCGTCCATAGTATAGGCTGTTTATTATTACTAGTGTAATAGGTACTAATTAAATGCTTGCATTGCATTCTTGATTTAATTGATTGATTTTAGAAATATGAAAGCGTAGCGGTTTTTGTATTAATTGCCGCATGCATTCTTATGTAAAATGTGAATACTATAACTATCAGATGGCAATTGCGAGTAGCTTTGACGTGGTCTAGTGTTTTGAGTAGTCATGCTCACTAAAATGTCCAGACTTGTGGCGGCGTGGTGGGCCGGGTCATTGGGCTCCCTAAAATATGGTCGAGCGCAGTGATGGCGGGCTCATCCGTCATACTCGTGAACGGGTGCTGCTTGTAGGGACTGGTCTGCTCTAATCACTATGACTGATTTCCTCTTATTAATTGTTTAACCAGTTGGTTATGTATTCATTATTTTTTCTTTTTGAGTATTTAATTGAATTAGTGCTAATTGGTGGTTTGTATAATGTGTGACATTTAAACTTAAAAATGTAAAGTAATAACAATAAAATTATTTAAAAGAGCAACACGCAAGTTTGTTGCTCGTTCTTCTTGTGATGAGACAGCTTTCCGAACGAGCGGTAGATTAAAAAAAATGTAATGACTATTCAAAAGTGCTTCAATGTAAGTTTATTTGAATAAATGATTTTCTATTCTATTCTATTCTAAATGATGATGACTTAGACTTTGAAGCTGGCTACCGCAAGGGAAACTCCAAGTAGCGCCCGTGACTTGTGACACGGGTGTAGGTTTAAAAGGCCCTTTTAGAATGCATTAACACTCACCTCGCAGCTTCCCCCCAGACAAATTCAAATTCAAAAATCATTTATTCGTGTAGGATATTTTAGCCGCTTATGAACGTCAAGTTTTACATTATAATTTTTTTTCCCTACCGTCCAGTTCGGTATATAGATCCAATTGAGAAGAACTGACAAGAAACTCAATTGAATTACTTTTTTTTTTTAAATCCAGTTTATTTACAATGCATTTATATAGGTGTCTATGTCTAACATTAAATGAAAATCCCGAACATGAAAACTATTGCCATGCACACTCGTCATTCAAGTAATCGTTTAGTGAGTAATAGGCCTTGCTCAGTAAATAATTTAACAGATGTTTTGAATTTATTTAAGGGTAATTCCAATATCCTTTGGTATCTTATTGTAAATTTTTATACCTATTCCCATAAAATACCTATTGACTTTTTCTAAACGATACTTGGGGACAGCAAGTTTGTCTTTAAATCTAGTATTAATATTATGAATATTGCTGTTTTTTGGAAATAAGTCAAGATTTTTATGAACATATAGGATATTTGAATATATAAATTGAGAAGCAACGGTGAGAATATTTGCCTCTTTGAATTTCTCTCTTAATGAGTCACGACTCTTCATACAGTAGATCGCTCGAATGGCACGTTTTTGTAATAAGAATATATTTTTAATATCTGCCGCTTTTCCTCATATTAGAGTATCCCATAAGAGAGTAAACTATGAAAATAACTAAAATAGACCAATCTAGCAGTATCAGTATCAGTCTACTATCTAACCTTACGCACGGCAAGACCCAACTAAGACCGGGATAAACCCATTTCTAATACAATTAACCGGACGAACATGCTAAAAAAATAACAACCTCAAATCAATATTGAAACATTTGTGACGAGTGAAAATTGTATGATATGAAATGATCGGAAAATTTCATGTCATTGTCAGTTCGATGACAGAATCATGCTCTCGATCTTTCACTTGATTCGTTCATTTACCAGTTGAATTCTTCCAACTCGAGTCCAACGCAACTCGAGTTAACTCGAGTTAGTAACGAGTTGAAACATCTCTATTATAATTTATGTTATGTTACATTACAGTGCAATATCACAGTAATTGTTCGACATAGAATGACGTGGAGTATTTGTAACAATTAATAATCTTGATTTATTGTTCGCTCTATTACAATGTTATTACATTACTATGTTAATAACGAGATGTATGGAATAATACTATATAACTATATGTCTCTGCACAGCTACAATTATTGTCACTACATTATATGTACATATATGTAAACAGACTGTCACGATCCGCTTTTAGTATAACTTCAATGGATACTGGACTATTGTTTAGTTATAAATATTTATACTAATATTATAAATATGTATTTTTATCTTTCTGTATGTTTGTTATTTTATTACTACTGAACGGCTGAACCAAAATTGATGATTGTAACTCGCGGATGCAAAGACTTGGTTTATTTAATAAAATAACTTGGTGGGGGTGAAGTAGGGGATGAAAGTTTGTGCAGTTTAGTTCCATATTCATAGTAATATTATAAATATGTGAATGTATTATGTAAATTTACATGTTTATATCTCGGGAATGCAAAAACGTGTTTTATTTAATAAAATAACTTGGTGGGGGTGAAGTAGGGGATGAAAGTTTGTGCAAACTTGTTGCAACTTGTGCGATATATTAAACAACATTATAGGTGGCATACTGAAAATGTTCAGAAAAAGAAATATTCCCCCATTTGGGGAGTATATGTCCCAACTTTCTTTAGCTATATTTTATTTTCTATATTTAACAACATATTGTATGAAAAATGTATAGTACTTCCTCCTGAGAGTTTGCCAGTTCGTTTGTGGAACAATAACACATAAACAGAGGGAGGAAGTGGATTGTTTGTAATGTGGACTGATGACACCATTGCTAGCGATGTATCGTGTCAGGAAACCATCATAATAAATTCCTGGTAAATTTGTCACGAGCTAACTGACCTGACCTCATGCTCATCTTATCATCCTCCACTGGTGCCTCGCCAGCGTATATCGTTATCATATGAGTGCACTATTCCATTATCATCCATTATAAATACATTCACATTGAATCAGATATATATATAGTTTTCACTCCGTCACTATTTAGGGATTTTATGATATGTAAAAAGAATAAAGTTATTCATAAAAAGGAAAGAAGCCGTAAAGAAATACCTTTAGCAGAAGCAGATCAAAAAGTTACCTACGTACGTATTCTGGGCGAGGAAATGGTAGACTGAAAATTGCTCCCATCACCCCACCAGCAAAGATCTAAGAGGTATACCATCAAGGTTTTAGCCGGTAGGAGACTGGTAGTACCCCTTTATCCCTTATAGCAGAGATGTAAGACTAATTTTCCTGATGTAAAAAAAGGTCTTTCTATCTCATCAACCAGCTTGAATTCTAAGCTGTGTTTTGGTTGTAGGTATTACAGGATGAAAGGGATAACATTTTAGTCCTGAAAAATGGTGTCACGGGTTACATGTCTGTAGTGCTGTTCGGGCGACGGCCACCACTTGCGGCGCCAGCAACAATGGTGCGGACATGTGACGCGTATGACGGTGGAAAGAACGGCTAAGCGCATCTTTTACTCAGAACTCGAGGAAGGCAAGCGGAAGCATGGCGGACAACTCCTCAGGTATAAAGATGTGCTGAAGCGACACATAAAGCAGTGCGCCATCGATCCTTCGCTGTGGGAGCAGGCTGCTGGACGGCCGGAGAGCGCTTGCTAAATCTAGCGTCAAAGTATCTGAAATCCGGCGGCTCCTTGAGCTGGATACCAAACGCGACGAGCTGAAAGCCCGACCACCTGCGGCTGTCAGCTATAATTATGTGAACGGTGTGCTCTCATGCCCGCAATGTGCGAGGAATTTTACAAACAAAATTGGCTACATAAGTCACATGCGAACACATCAACGGTAGAACCAGAGTTGAAGACAGTCGCCGTGGCCGAAATTGGCCGGGATTTCATCATCATCACCATCAGGTGGGTCACTTTCTTTGCTATTTCAATTACATAATGGTATTAGTACGTCGTGATGGTTATAACACATTCATTCATAATTTAAGAGCTGTGCTCTTGTCGGTGGAGCTCCCGCCACCTTCCACGATCTTCTATCAGTCTTTCCAGCTGTTGATACGACACGACTCCAACTTTTTCTGTAACTTGCTTGATATAGCTGTGTCTCGGTCTTCCCCTTCCTCTCTTTCCATCTATTTTTCCTTCAATAATGTTATTAATTAGTTCGTCGTGTCGTATCAAGTGCCCCAACATTTTTCCCATCTATTCTCAATAATATCTATGATCTGTCTCTTTTCTTTAACTCTTTCAAGCACTTCTTCATTCCTTATTTTATCTTTCCAGATAATTCTTTCCATCCTTCTCCAACATCACATTTTAAAGGTTTGCAGTTTGTCTTGAGTGGTTATAACACACGAGACAAAATTTCAGCCAGAGCCGAAAGCGAGGGCGTAATAGAGCTGAGTTCTATACATATGGTTATATTACGTTTTTCAACACACTTCATTTTATCCCTCTGATCAATCTCCCATCCAATTCAAACGGGGATCGAAATTACGACGGCCTGAGCCGAGGTTCGAACCCCTAGTGGTGCCCTCAGACTAAAGTCGTATCCATCAGGCAGGAGCTAGCCTTCAGCCGATCCATAAGTTCTCCCGCGGGTTTGGAGTGCCATCTGCACTCGCCCCCTACGGTCCGGTGAAGCTGTAAAGGCCAGCTGCGACCAACAGTATTAGAGTAGTCCGAAAAAAAACAAACTTCATTTTAAATAAACTCAACCATAAAACTGTGATGCATACTGTTGCTTTCCCGCCGTTTTACTTTTATAAATCAGAGCGCTGGCCTTCGAAGGAGTGGTAGAATAAAAATGTGACTATTCAAAAGTTCTTCTATCAAGTTTAATTGAATAAAGATTATTGCTATTTTTAAGAAATCCGGTGAAATTAGATCCACTTTAAGAGTGTGTTGGAAAGAAAATAAAAATGATTTGTTATTACCTCAGCTACGATGCTATTGTAATCTTCATACACTATCTTCTCGCATGGCATCGTTCTGTTAAAGTTGAACCTCTCTGGAGAGCAGGTCCCGTTGTTAGCTATAGTCCAGTCTTCAACTACATTCGAGTGGAACATCGAGTCATACAGTTGAGGTCTTTGGCAGCTTCTGGTGTCGTTCATAAGGGCGAATGATGTCCAGCTTGCGTTGAATCTGTCATCGGAGAGATCACATTCTGGGACTACGCATCTGTGGAAAATAGGAGAGAAAGTTACATGGAAATCTATATATATAAATAAAATTGGAGTGTCTGTTTGTAATATTGAAATAACCGTTTTTTACTACATGCATATAAATATAAATACACCAAAATAAAATTCTTTACAAGTTTTGTCTGTCTGTCTGTTTGGTCCGGTTTATCTTTGAAATGGCTGGTCCGATTTTGACGGGACTTTTTTGGCAGGTAGCTGATATAATAAGGAGTAACTTAGGCTACTTTTATTTTATTTTAGAAAAATGAAGTTAAATTCCACGCGTACGAAGTCTAAGAGAATAACAAAGGAACTTGGAAAGTAGAAATTACAGTCAGCTGCCTCGGCTTCGCACGGGTGTACATGTATTATATATAAATCTTCCTCTTGAATCAATCTATCTATTAAAAAAATATCGCTTCAAAATCAGTTGCGTAGTTTTAAAGATTTAAGCATACATAGGGACGGACAGACAGCGATAGCGACTTTATTTTATACTATATAATGACGAGATACTATAATTTAATCCAAATATATATAACTCAAAGGTGACTGACATAGTGATCTATCAACGCACAGCCCAAACCACTGGACGGATCGGGCTGAAATTTGGCATGCAGGTAGATATTATGACGTAGGCATCCGCTAAGAAAGGATTTTGATAAATTCCACCCCTAAGGGGATAAATTAACGCGAGCGAAGCCGCGGGCAAAAGCTAGTTTGAGATATATGAATACTATAAATATGAATGAAAACGTGTAAAAAAGATAATAATAGTCATGTAAGAAGTGAAAAACGTGTAAATGTTTTAAGGAAAAGGAAAATACTATTGCGCTCTCTCACCAGAACAACATAGTTTTTGTTAGTATACCTGTAGGGTACATCAGCCGCTGTGAAGACGTAATTGAAGTTGCACATAGCGAGGAAGGAGTCCCTGAAGGCCAGGAGTAACAGCAACAACACTTGGTACTTCCCAAAGCTGCCCAGTTCGTTCAGGATGCTGTCCACGTTGAACTGACCGTCGGACGACTCCTCCGGCACCTTTGAACAATAATGGATTTATTTACTTTCATAAAATCCATAGAAATATATATCTTTATTCATTTTATTCACTTAATTATAATCTGATATAACCGACGATCTGGTCAAGATCGCTGGAAGGCGTTGGATGCGAGCAGCGCAGGACCGATCGTCGTGGAGAGTTTTAGGGGAGGCCTATGTCCAGCAGTGGACGTCTTCCGGGCTGCGATAATGATGATGATGATGAATTATAATCTAACTAAAACAATACTTATTCAAAAGAGCAACACACAAGTTTCTTGCTCATTCTTCTTGTGATGAATGTGCATTCCGAATGAGCGATAGAATAAAAAAATGTGACTATTCAAAAGTGCTTATATTAATTTTATTCAATGAAGATTATTTTTTTCTTCTTTCTTTCTTTCTACAAGAACTTTTGAATAGACACATTTTTTTTATTCTACCGCTCATTAGGCATGGAGACTCATCACAATAAAAACGAACAAGAAACTTGTGTGTTGCTGTTTTATATAGATTTTTTTTATGTATTTATTTAGTGAAAATTTGGATGAAATGACGGCAAGTTACGGCAACAACGTGTGACTCACGTATTTTTCTTAAGCTTAAGGAAAAAAATTACAAGACCATGATCCGGCCTATTGCCTTGTATGGATCAGAGTGCTGGCCCGTACAGGCGATGGATGAAAGACGACTGCATGCAACTGAAATGCGAATGTTGAGGTGGATGTGTGGTGTGACAAGAATGGATAAGATAAAGAATGAATACATTAGAGGAAGTATGAAAGTGGCGCCGGTGTCGGAGAGGTTGAAGAGTAATCGTCTATCATGGTATGGACATGTAATGCGTAGGAATGAAGATAATATTTTAAGGAAGGTGATACATACGAATGTGGATGGTTGTAAGGGCAGAGGAAGGCCGAAAAAGAGATGGATGATATGGTAAGAAAGGGAGTAAATAACGAGATGACTGCGAACAGGGATGAATGGAAGAGAAAAACATATTACGACGACCACAAATAAATGGGATAAGGAAGAAACAGATGATGATGATGATATATAGATATATATATAGGTGTAATTTGCAGACTATTGCATGTATATAGTAGAGTACCCTGGAATTCTATGTTTATAGTTAAATATTAGCTACAACTGAGTACAGCTGGCTATGATTTACATTTAACACACGTATGGTCACGCACCACTATGATATTTTGTCTCGCTCTCGTGCCGATCGAGTTTTCGGTGAGAAAGGAAGTAAATAACAAGATGACTGCGAACAGGGATGAAGAGAAGAGAAGAACATATTACGACGATCAAATAAATGGGATAAGGAAGAAGATGATTATGATTTAGTGACAATTTGCAAAAATGAAATTACAAACAGATAGTTTTGTGTAATTTATTTGTATAGATTAGAACGTATTCTAAAACTCACTTTAATTGTAGTTTCGACCCCCATTTCTATAGTTTGACAATCACTTGCTGTCCCTGATGACTCCACATATTATTTCTGAAACAATACGATTTCAATTAATTAGTATTATGAGTAGTGGATTTTTATTGTTATACAAACTGTATCCGCGACTTCCTCTGCGTGGAATTTAACTTTATGTTTCTAAAATAAAAGTAGCCTAACTTAACTAACTACGCATACAATTAATACCCTTATTGTTTCTTTGTATTATAGTTTATTTTTACAAAACCGATGGCCCACCTCGACAAGTATTCAGTATTGGAACTTTTTATAAAAGACTAGCTGTTTGCGTGAATACGTCCACGTGGAATTTAACTTTATTTTTCTAAAATAAAAGTAGTTTAAGTTACTCTTTATTACATCAGCTACCTGCCAATAAAAGTCCCGTCAAAATCGGTCCAGCCATTTCAGAGATTAGCCGGAACAAACAGACCGACAGACAAAAATTGTAAAAAATATTATTTTGGTGTATGTACCGTATTTATATTCATATGCAAGTAGTAAAAAACGGTTATTTCAATCTTACAAACAGATACTCCAATTTTATTTATATGCATAGATGAATAACATTCATAATTTAACAGCCTCACTCTTCTCGGTGGAGCTCTTATCAGTACAGCAGAAAAGATAACAAAACTTAACAAAGTCATCTATCTAGCGATCATGAAATTAAAAACATGTCTTTTGTTTTACAGATACATGTTTCTGGCACCTGTCTAATACAAATCTATACATATAAATAAAATTAGAGTGTCTGTTTGTAATATTGAAATAACCGTTTTTTACTACATGCATATCAATATAATACGGTACATACAACAAAAAATTTTTTTTCCAATTTTTGTCTGTCTGTCTGTCTGTTTGCTTGTTCTGGTTAATCTCTGAAATGGTTGGATCGATTTTGACGGGACTTTTTTTGGCAGGTAGCTGATGTAATAAGGAGTAACTTAGGCTACTTTTATTTTAGAAAAATAAAGTTGTATTCCACGCGGACGTAGTCGCGGCAACATATATATCAATATAAATACGGTACATACACCAAAATAACATTTTTTACAATTTTTATCTGTCTGCCTGTCTGTCTGTTTGTTCCCGATAACCTCTGAAATGGCTTTACCGATTTTAACGGGACTTTTTGGCAGGTATCTGATGTAATAAGGAGTAACTTAGGCTAATTATTTTAGATTTTTTATTATATTAGAAAAATAAAGTTAAATTCCACGCGGACGAAGTCGCGGGAACAGCAAGTGCCAAATATATTTGAAAACAGGTCGCGTGCTTTTGTCTCCAGATGCCGCTGGGACCAGCCGCCGGCGGCAGTCTTTGACATTCGTCTGGTGTTAATTATGAATGCGTAACAGTGCTTGGTAGAGTGTATTGTAGGTACTGTTTCTAAACTAAAGGTTTGTTAATACTAAAGTACAGTTAATGTTCTTATGGTGTACTGTATATATTTGTATTATAATCATTTCACATCATTACCTCTTTTCATGACAACTGGCCGCTTACAGACAAGACAGACACGTTCCATATTTTCACCTATAAAATATTCTCACGTCATCCGTCACTCGCTACATACAACTATAATTGTAATAATATTTTCTAGTATCGATTTATATAATTTCCTTAATATACATTTTATCATTTGCTGAGGGTCTATTTTACTTACATTATAATTACTACCGACCCCACATTCTAAACTTTAGAATAAATATAGTAACAGTAAGAGATTTTAATTTTGTAATAAATCAGCCAGCTCCGCTCCTATTGGTTATACCGAGAGATTATATATTCTGTAACATTTCTCGATAAATAGACTACAAAACTGTAAAAATGATTCATTATTATTAAATCTGATTATAATTATTTACATAACCTAAAATTAAAAAGCTTAAAAAATATAATGTGATGACTAAAATATATTATTAAAAGGGGTCCCTTTAGGCAACGTTCCGAAGATACTGGCAGCAAATTTCAAACTCTGATCTATTGATCTGTACAATAGTACAAAATATCAATAGTACAGAAATTACACAATCATTTCATTGATTCATAAACTTAAGAGCAACGCTCTTGTCGGTGGAGCTCTTGCATCGTACTCCTTATGCCTTGATAAGGCACGATTCCAATTCTATCCGCTTCAAAATCCGTTGCGTACTTTTAAAGATTTAAGCATACATAGGGACGGACAGACAGCGACAGCGACTTTATTTTATACTATGTAATGATAACTAGCTACTTGCCCCGGCTTTGCACGGGTGTACATGTATTACACTATATATATAAACCTTCCTCTTAAATCACTCTATGTATGTATAAAAAAACCGTTTCAAAATCCGTTGCGTAGTTTTAAAAATGTAAGCATACATAGGGACGGACATACAGGGACAGTGACTTTGTTTTATACCATGTAATGATGATAATCATAGTATCCATTAATTTTAAGCTACAAGCGTGTTAAATATTACAACACGTTCCTGTTATCACGAACTGTAATACTATGTAATATTATGTTATCTGTGGTAATACTATCGATAAGCAAGATTAAATAACATTATGTTTATGTACATATATACACGTGGCAAGATTATAGACTAAACAGATTCAATAAGGAAAGTCTTAAATATAAATAAATCAAAACTAATTACATATTTTATTGCAGTTGACATCGCAAGGGCAATCGCAAGCAGCAAAAGGGACGAGCTCTTTCAAATTCAGAAATCATTTATTCATGTAACATTTTAGCCGTTTATGAACGTAAATTTTTTTATATTACATTTTTTTCCAAATATGTTTAAAGATCAATTTACACTCAGCCCCAGTGGGCAGGGAAGTAAGCACAGGGGTGAGCAGCGCGAGAGGTATGCTACGTTTACATTCAGCCACTTCCTCTGCCACTCGCGCTGCCGGAAATATTGTCGGGCGACATACGATAGACGTATACCATTTTCCATCAAATGGGCGACTCATTTGCTATTACTTTAAAAAACTTTTTGAGCAACGCTACATCAAGATAGGAAGGACACCGGTAAGAAGAGTATTTTAATGTGTTAAGCATTTAAATGTTTTAAGTAATATTCGCAGTTAAAAAACAAATTATAATTATTAAAATTAGTCCCGCACGTCGTTTTTTAAAGTTTTAATATTCCTTATACATCTATTATGCTACGTTTACATTCAGCCGCTTCCCCTGCCACTGGCGCTGCCGGAAATATTGTCGGGCGACAACTGAGCGAGAGGGCTGAATGTAAAAACACGCTTCCACTCGTGTTTACACTCTCGTGCTGCTCACTTCCCTGCCCACTCGGGCTGAGTGTAAATTGGTCATAAAACACGATACTTCCCATGCCATTGGCGCTGCCACTCGCGCTGCCCGGCGCTCCCTCGATTGTCGGTTTTTCGTGCGCGAGTCAAAGGACTGGCAGCGCGAGTGGCAGCGTGTTTTTACATTCAGCCCTCTCACTCAGTTGTCGCCAGGCATTTTAAGCGGAAGGTAAGGAAAAGTCGCCCGGTAAATAAGTATGTATGAGGGCTGAGTGTAAACGACTCCTGTCGATGCACCAGCCTAACGCAATATTTCCGGCAGCGCGAGTGGCAGGGGAAGCGGCTGAATGTAAACGTAACCGTAACATTAAAAATATAGATCCAGTTGATAAGAAACTCAATTGAATTACTTTTTTTTAAAAAGCCAAAAAATCTAATTCCTTTTTAAAAGGCCGACAACGTACTTGCAATTCCCATAGTGTTGCAGGTGCTCATGAGCGACGGTAATCACTTACCATCAGGTGAGCAGCATGCTCAATTGTCCCCTGTGTTATAAAAAAAAATCATTGTCGAATCACTTTCCTGTAATGATAACTCCGAACCGAACCGATACGATATTGAAACCTTCAAGAAAATATCTAATTCCTTTTAAAAGGCCGACAACGTACTTGCATTTCCCCTGGTGTTGCGGGTGCTAATGGGCGACGGTAATCACTTACCATCAGGTGAGCGGCATACTCGTTTATCCCAAAAAAAAGACCTACTGAAAACAAAAAAAACCTAAAAAATAAAAACTTACTGAAAACCGTAACATTAAAAATATAGATCCAATTGAGAATCAATAGAATTACTTTTTTTTAAAAAGCCAAAATATCTAATTCCTTTCTAAAAGGCCGACAACGTACTTGCAATTGCCCTGGTGTTGCGGGTGCTCACTTACCATCAGGTGAGCCGCATGT